TTAAGCCTACTTCTATCAGAATGTTCTAGCCTAAGAGATTTCCAGGTGACAAACGAATGAATTATGCATGGTAGCATATGCGCACCATCTGTTCAATACGTATACGTTCCTTAGCTCTATTTATATTCTCTGTTTTGCCTGCACACATAACTCGCATGCTTCCCTTTGTAATCCTCAAAGAACACATTAGGTGACTCCTTTGAGTACATATTCGTTGACGCACCCAGAAGAAATCTTTCCGATTACAGGAACGAAAGCTGGTACCACTAACGCTAATGTAAGAAGTCCCCGTTTCTGCAGCATGCGTGTTGTTATACGTAGAAGGCGAATGTCTTTTTCTCTTTAATTTTCTGTGCAGAAGACAGCAGATTTCAGAGTCGTCTTTTAGCGGATGGTTATTATCACGTCTGATGATTTCAGACAAGCCCAAATTCACTTCCTATGCGCCGCTAACTGCCCAAGTAGTTGATAAATTGTGTACACCACTTCGTAACTGGTGCTTTGGTATTTTTGACACCTATCAACGTTACGCATGAAGCTGTTCTCACCGCTCTCGAAGATATAGGAGTAGGTGGTCGGATGTATTGCTGGATACGTAGTTATTTGTCAATGCGATCCTTCTTTGTCAGCACTGAAGACGGTCCAACCTCTCCACATTACAGCCACCATGGCGCCCCCCAGGGTGGCGTACTCAGCCCTGTGCTGTTCAATCTTACGTTAATTGCTCTCACTGAGCATCTGCCAAGCATGGTCAGGCTATCAATGTACGCAGATGATATCTGCGTTTGGGCATCGGCTGTAACACGCCTGCAGTTACGAGGGAGAATTCAAAAAGCTGCCACTGAAACATTACGCTACCTACGAAATCAAGGCTTGGAAATTTCTTGCGAGAAATGTGCCCTCGTAGCTTTTTACACGAAAACCTATGGATAAGTACACTATAAGCATCAATGGTCAAACTGTACCATACGTTCGATCGCACAAGTTTTTGGGCGTCATAATTGACAGGAATCTCTCATGGAGCGATCACGTTTCGTACATGAAGAAACGGTTAATGGACATCTGTAATATACTGAAGTTCTTTGCAGGGAAGACTTGGGGAATGTCTCCCAGTGCAATACTACAGCTGTACAGAGTACTTTTTCTCGGTTTTCTGTGGTACAGTTTACCGGCGTTGACCAATGCAAGCAAAACAAGCCTTCGCTACAGAGTGTTCAGTCCCAGGCACTCCGGATTTGCCTCGGCCTGCCTCGTAGTGCGTCGACAATGGCTACTATAGCTATCGCCGGTGACCACCTCATCACGGCACATATCGACGTTGAGGCACTCAGGACACATATAAGGCATATGGCTCGGACACCCTGCCACCACCTAGCCTCTTTACCAGCAGACAGACTACATTCATCATTTTGCCAAACGGTCACCACATATCGCGATTCTTTGCCAACATGCTTCACACCCGCTGCCGTGCATTCGACTCCTCCCTGGTGCCTGACTCAGGCTAACACCAGGCTAACTATACCTGGCATCTAGAAAAAAGCAGATATGTCGTCACCTGCTCTTAGACAGCTTGCTCTGCTCTTGTTATACGAGACGTATCAAGGCTGTATACACGTATACACCGACGGCTCTGTTTTACAGAAGAGTTCAACGGCATCATTTGTTATACCGATAAAAGACACGACAAGAAAATTCAAGACCTCCCACCTTACGAAATCAACGGGAGCAGAGCTCACAGGTCTTCGTGCCGCATTGCAATGCATCGACGACCAACAGCCACAAAAATGGACAATTTTCAGTGACTCAAAAACGGCACTGCAATCCCTTCTATCACCTTTACGCCACGGCCCGTACGAACAGCTGGTATTTGAGATTGCAGAAAAGACTCAACAACTCATTGAGGAAGGACATGAAATAGCCTTTCAATGGCTCACAAGTCATTGTGGAATAATTGGCAATGAACGGGCCGATCGAGCTGCCCGTTCTGCTCATACTGAAAGCGATGAAATACCAATTCCGCTTTCCAGAACTGACGCAGCACGGAAACTCCGCATGCTTGCTCGCAAGCGCACCTCGTCACAATGGAACGAGTCACATTTCATCCATGCACGGTTAGGTACTTTGTACCCAACTCTTAGTCTTCGAATTGATCCGGAATTACGCCGACGAGACGCTACTATGCTGTGCAGATTATGGTTGGGCGTCGCATTTACCAACGCGTACGCGTTCCGCATAGGAATGGCTGACACTGCTGCATGCGACCATTGTGGCAGTGATGAAACAACTTGGCACATTCTGTGTGAATGTCCACAATACTGCTCGTAGAGACAGTCACTCTGCAATGCACTGGATGAACTGGACAACCAGCCTCTTTCGGAAGAAGAATCCTGCGCTGCCGACAGGACACTATGTCGCAGAAGAAGGCTGTGAAGGCGCTCCTGCACTTCTTGCATTCAACCGGCCTGTCCAAACGACTGTGATCGGAACTCCCTGAATGTGTGCGCATGTGGTTTTTTCTAATTTATTTTTTATCTTTCTATTTCTATCCTCTTTCTGACCCTTTTCCCCACCCCCATACAGGATAGCAAACCAGTTCGTCTAGGTTAACCTCCCTGTCTCTTCCTTTTATTTATTTCTCTCTCTCTCTTGACATCTATCAGCACTTAGTGTAAGATCTCAGACTTTCAAACGAGTAGACCTTAATGACAGACCTACTTCTGGTCCTACGTATAGAAACATTGACAAGCATGGTCAATATTTTGAATATCTGAACGCACGAAAGGAATTGCACATATATATGAGAAAGAGCTGAACGTTTCCTTTAGGAGCGAATGTTTGGCGAATGTTTTTAGGATGTACGCTAGTCCCTCGTCGTCCATCGTAACTACCCCTAGTACTCGAAGTTCTCACTAGATAGCGCTGCGGCGCTCACTGCACTCCGATGCGGAGGAGACGCGTGCTTTAAATTGATAGGATACCACTAGATCGTGCGTCTGCGCTCTCGTTGGATAGATGCACTCGCTCCGATGCGTGCTAGTGTAATAGGCGACTGCTAGGGGCCACAGCTATAAAGTGCATTCGCTCTTGGCGCGCTTCCTCTTTTGCTCAGCAGTCAGCGCGCTTCGAGTACGAGCGACGCAGACTTCACCTAATTGACCATAAGGCAATTATAATGAAGGGGGAATGGAAGCCATGTCTCGCTACTATTAACGAATAAAATTACGTTGTGTATATATACCGTGTTTCTTACGTCTTCGATGATACACTGGGCAAAATTCACAGAGGGTTTATGGTCTACCACAATACCTCCGGAGCTTCGGCCACTCATCATCTTCCACTCCGTAGGTATGCTGCGATTTTTTTTTTTTTGTATTACAAAGCATCAAATTAGGCACATGTTTTTGGTAGGAGATATGTGCGTTCAAAGCAACTATAGATATGTCTACAAAATTGGAAAGTCTGAAAAGATTCGCTATGTTTCTGCAACGATAGTCGTTTCTTTCAGAAAACATTTCGAGCAGATGAAAAAAAGGAAATTCATCGAGTTTTGTAATCGAAGTAGTTCTGTAAATGGCCTGGTACATAAGGCGCCAGGCTGTTCTCATCATGAATGAGGTAATCGCGTTGTCTTTTTCTAGAGGTTCTACAAGACCAATTCTTGCCTAAGTGTAATAGGACCATAGTCTTTTCTTTTTTTGAACAGGCCCTGTAACACTTTTTCAGCGCGGTCAAAAAACGCTGCCGATCGGGAGTAGATACTTCTAAGAGTATGCGAGCCAAACATTATAGCGCAGCCCGTGGCCTGGAACTCACAAATAATTATCAATGTCAGCTGGAAATCTCTCTCTTTCTTCTCTCTAGAAGTGATGTCACACATCCAAATTACGGCACCGTAAATTCAATGTCTATACGTACGTAGGCTGATTTGAGCGGCGTGAGCTGCCTAGTTACTGTGGCCGCCACGGCAGAGCGCCACGTGCCCATGCTCCCGCTCGTGATCAGTGATCACACTGAGAGTAGGTCGCACGTTCAAATAAAAATAAAAAGTGCTTAAGATCATGACTCGCACTGACAAAGAGGCGCATCTTTTTGCCCTCCTGTAATCGCTCTCCCTGCGTAGCTTTCAGCACCCTCGCTTCCAACAAAAGAGGGAAGTGCTTGAAGCGCGTAACAAAAATTCGTGTAAATCCACTCGTGCTTGAAAGATTCTTAAAGAAAAAAAATTGCTGCTGACACCATTACACGGAAATGTGTTGCGGGGTCCTTTCATATAAAAATTAGAGTATAACTAATGACTTATAATTATGTCGGTGGCTTTTGAAGTCGTGCTGATAGTGCGAAACGGTGAATGTGAGGTCGTACTGATCGGACTATATAAGCTGCGAAATCGTCGCTATTTGTGACAAAGAGCAGTGACGTAGAAAGAACGAGCCACTGCATGCTCATTTCTGAAGGAACGCTAAGCGCCGACACTGGCTCGAGTGTTCATCAAGCCGGGTTGAAAAATATTTCGTG